CCACGTGTGGAGTACCCCGGCCCTTTGGGGGTGCTTTGCCGGCTGGCCACGGGGCTGGGGCTGCAGCCATGGCTGCAGGGGCCAGGACAGCCATGTCACCCAGCCAGCAGCAGGGCTGAAGGAGCCGGCAGTGGGTTGGGACAGAGGCGCAGTGGCTGGTGGCAAGGCACCTTCCCTGGTCCAGGAAATTCCCCCCACCGGACCACTCAGGTCCCAAGGGTGCCAAACCAGGGAGGTCCAACCTGTGCTGGAGATAAAATCTGCCCCGTGCCCGGTTTGCAAAGCGAGGCGATTCAAACCACTTTCTAGTCTTAAACCTCGGCGCCTCCTAGAACAGGCCTCTAGTGTGATCCAGTGGCACTAGCAGTGCAGAAAACCAGTCATGCTGTACCACGCTGGGCAGAACAAAAGGTGAGTGCCGGAAGGAAGTCTGGTTCATATTCATTTATAGGTTTAAATATTTTTCCCTGAGATATTGCAGACAGTGGTCCCTGAGTAAGGACGTTATAGACATGGCAGTAAGAGAGCTTGTGAGTGTAACAATCCCTTACAAAGTACAAATTCGACTACAGACAAAGGCAGAAATGCTGCTCAGACTATCACGCAATAGACACCCGTTGCAAGCAACAAGTGGCCCTGTTTTGCACTGTGGGCTCAAGCCAAGGCCACTGAATTTGTCACCCGTCTTCAGTGAGCATGGGGCTGGCAAACTGCAGCGCCAGGCCCTGAGGTAAGTGGCAGCGCTGGGGCGGGGGAGGCTAGGGGAACTTCAGCAGGAAGATGGCAGTCAGGCAGCTTAGAGCCACGATGTTCTCCCACATGGCCCAGGTGGTAGGCTCCACCCCTTGGCTGCGCAGGTACGCTTCGCCGGAACACCTGCGGGCACACGGGGCAGAGTTAGGGTGACCGCGAGCCCCGAAGGCGGCTACGTTCTGCAGAGACGTTTTCCCCCAGAGACACTGAGATCCCCGTCACGCAGTGCTGAGGCAGCGCTGGGACACAGACTGCCCCTTTCCTGTTGTCTAGCCCGCTCTGGCTCCTGTATCAGCTTCAGAGAGCCAGCCAAACCAATGGGTCAGCACAGGGACCGGCAGCCCTCATGGCTCCCCATGGCCAGACGGGCCTCACCTCTCTCCATGCCGGACTCATCTGAGCGGCTGTGTCCTGCCTGGTCTGCACCGTGCAGGGCCGCAGGAGGGGGGAGTGGGGCACAGCTGCGCTGGGGATCTGAAAGGGCCTGGGGCGCCGTCCCTGGATGGCACGTGCCCAGCAGCGCAGAAGGGCTGGGTGGGGGAGGCTAGCCCCTGCCCCACCCCTCTGCCAGACACCTCACCCCTCCGCATTCGGCGAAGGCCGGTCTCAGCCCTGGAACTGTGCCGGGGATGTTTTCATTATTCCTAGCCCACCTCAGCAGGGCCCCTTTTCACAGGGCATAACCGCTCCACAGCCGCCCTGGGGTGCCCCTCTGGGCACAGGTGGGGGCTTTCCCCTTTGCCAAGGCAAGCAGGCTCCCCTGCTCCATTTCTGATGGGCGAAGTTCAGGGGCACACCCTGATCACACCGCCCCAGGGCGGCTGACCCCTTGGGGGAGTTGGCCTCAGATCCACCTGTGCTGGCTTGGCTTGCGTGACTGCACAAGCCGCTTAGCTGGAAAGGAGAACGGCAGAGGGGGCCGGGACGCTGGGGCGGGGCTCCGTCTGTGGAACTGACGTTGGTTTGTCCCGACGAGCTGTCCGCGGGGGGCTGAGTGGGCTGAGGATGGTGTTCCTCCTCCCAGACCAGCCGCCCACGTCCCTCCTGACCCAGGTTCGCTACTTACTCAGTCTCCAGGAGGCCCTCGTGCTGACGGCTGCCTCCCAGGAAACACCCCTGCCAAGCGCCCAGCGGCACGCCGAGCCAGGGACTTACATGTCTCCAAACGCGGCAGCTTTAGTGGAACAATCAGCCGCTTTCCCCGGGCGCCTGCTCACATTCTGGCTGGTCTCACCACAGAAGTAAAGGTCTCGAAATTCGTTGACTTCCAGGGCCTTGGGGAGGCAAGCAGACGGCAAGATGTAATAAGCCCCCGCACCCTCCGCTGGCACACGGGCTGTAGGTCCCATCGTCCCTGAGAGCCGTGCCAGGGGGCCTGTCACCTAGCAGGCCCCACGTAGCGCCCGAGGATGCCGGAGGGCGTTCAGATTTGGGTGCCCAGCCTTGCTTTGCTGTCCCTGGCCAGCGGCGCCTGGCAAACATGCAGCGTTTGCTCCTCGGCTCGCCTTGCTGGTTCCCACCCAAAGTCAGAAGGCACCGTCCAAACGGAACAGCCTAGACTG